AAAAAAAGAGAACACAGCATCTACCAGGCGGCATTAGGTTAATCAATTCACTCATCACCTGGATTATGATATGATGCATTCCAATTCAACCACAAATTACAACCATGAAGACCAGTTGAAGGAAGAGGAGAGAGGGAGATAATGAAGGAAGATGGAACAGAAAAAGAAGGAAATATTAAAATAATTTGGATAAGAAAAGAACAAGAATACCAGAAGTAGAGAGATAAAGACAGGGTGGGACACTGAACAGGTAACACAGTAACATACAAACCTTGAACGTACAACCACCATTACTAATCTTAACCCTATTCTTGGGTTATGAAGAGAAACAAAGAGCTAAAACATCACTTCAGCATCCACATACAAAAACACAATAATACAAAGGCTACCAAAATAAATCTCAGATATTCAGTAGTAAATCATGCTAAATTATCAATACAGAATATCAGTTAATGCTATTCTTCATTACAAATTCTCTTCCTTGACATACCTATAATAATGTTGGTGACATTGTGAGTTTTCCTATATAACTTTCAGAACAACAACAAACTTCAAAGAAAAACACTTATCTCATGTATAAGAACTCAATAAATATACCACAATCTAAAAAGATATATATAAAAACAGTTATAAACTCTTCAAGTTTATAAAGACAAAAAATCATTAAAAATCATTTAATAAGTAATGTAAACAAGTCATACCTGAGGAGCTTCTTATAACAAGTTAAACTGCTCTGGCATGAGTGCCATAGATAAAAAATCTTCAGTTCATTACAAGAGAAATGGTGCTCTTTACTATATATATGCATACATATTTACTATATATATATATATATATATATATATATATATATATATATATATATATATATATATATATATATATATATATATATATATATAAATATATATATATATAATATATATATATATAATATATACATAATATATACATATATATATATATATATATATATATATATATATATATATATATATATATATATATATATATATATATATATATATATATATATATATATATATATATATATATATATATATATATATATATATATATATATATATATATATATATATATATATATATATATATATATATATATATATATATATATATATATATATATATATATATATATATATATATATTTATATATATAAACTTTTGCTGAAGGAGAAAAAGAAGAAAAAATCAAGGTGTGCTCAGTGGTATGCACATTAATCCACTGGTAATGGGTAACATGCTATCATGTCATGCTAAATATCAGACACCAGGTGATGCCTCACCACATCATGAGTCCACATCCCCATATATGGTATAAGGTCTCATATGCCTAACTGTAAGCTGGACAATTGCCCAGGTGTGGAGTGGCATACACTAATATTCAACCGTCCTCATTAGATTTTACCAAAAATCAAGTACCTTTTCATGCAGGATCAACATTCTTATATCTCAAAATCAATGGCTAATATCCAACCTACATGAAATATCCAGTCCTATATTTCAGATAGAATAAAATATAAATAGGATTACATCTTTTGATTAATCCAAATATCAACAACAGTTGGATTTAGTGCAACACTGTACTAAACCATCTTTACAAATCTGCAGTACTCATGATAACAGTAACAATCTTAAATGCAGCCTAACATCCATTCCCATCTTTAAAATTAGCACCACACATTTTATGTCTGTTACCTGTGGTTGGAATCTAAAACAACATTCTGACATTTCACTCCTGTAGAGGCCATTTTTTCACCAACATTAAAGCACAACACAGACAAGTATTTGTTTGCACTAATAAACATAACCACCACAACAGCTTGTAAACTCCATGCAAAGCAGTTCCTTTGCTTCTCTGAATTGACATCAAGAGGGAACAAATTATATGTATTGGGATAAATGGTAATGATATTCAAAGAATAGTCATAACAAGATATGGTATAGATTCACATTAAATTCTTACTATCACTGGTAATAAATGATATAAAATAAGATACCGACTCCATTACATAACAAAAACAAAAGACTGATGCTCTGTAAGCTAAAAAATCCAATGACAGATAATATTCTTTGAATCACTGAAATAAACTGCATCACCATAAAAATTTCCTTTTCACTTTAAAAATTCCAAACTCATCACAGGAGCTGGCATCAGTTGTTTAACATGGAAGCCCAGATTTACTTTCGACAAGATGAGATTTCCAAATCAAATGGTACTATCTACATGTCTGATATCACATTGACGTGTACGCTGTTTTGAAGACAACAGTCAAGTCTAGAAGTGGGAAGTCACTCATCTCTTACTAAAACACTGCTAAAGTTATCAAAAATACAATATGCGCAAAAGAAAATACATCCATGACTTTGATTGCTTTATACACACACAAACACACACACACGTACACGTATCTATATTTTGCTCAGCTGTAAACACTTAATCACCAACTACAATTGAGGTCCAAAACAGTAAGTGGGTCATTGTGGGTATGTGATTCCTGTTGTCAGTGTTTCAAAACTGGACAACATATGAATTCTAAAATAGAAAATATATCTGGCAACTTTTTCAATAAACACCTGGGTAGAGAAACAAGTAATTAAAGGTAAATACTCAGCACTCAGCAGTTTGACAGTCATCACTTAATCAGGAGGAAGAGGACTAGGAAGAGGCTGCAGAAGTATGAGAAGGATTCACTATTTCTAAGGTAGCTGAGTTTCATATCTTGTTTGATGTACATTAATGATAGTAGCAGTAATAGCTGTAGTATAAATGATTAATTGTGAATAATCATGTGTAATAATAATGATAACAATAATAATAATAATAATAATAATAATAATAATAATAATAAAAAACTATATTTTGAACATGAGGATATCATTAACAATGTACAGCATTTAGCAAATAAATAAGACTATCTCCTTTGATTTGTACTTATAAAAAAGTCTGTGAGCCATTTCTAACAAAGCAATTCTCATAACTGCCATTAACAAATGTATCAGATGTTATCCTATATATAGCATGAAAATTACAAGCGGTTTAATGCTTTACACGTCAATAAAATAGAATATTAACTCACAGAATTGAAAGAGGACTCCTGCAGAATACCCATGGACTGAACTTCAAACTTAATGAATTTCTACTTAAATATATTCAACAACTTCTTGCTTGTTAAAGTGCTTTCTTTCAAATCTTCTTTCTCGCAAAATGTAATGCTAAGAAAACTTTATATGGATGGTTATCGTTTCTAAATAATACTTTCCTGCTGATTACAGAAAAGACTTGCTCTACGAACTAAAGAGGATATCTTCAAGAATTCCTCACTTGTGCAATTTGTGAAGCTTGAATCTGGGAACTGGTGTTCAATACTCTACTACTTTTTACTGAATGAATTTGAATGCGCAAGGCTTTCTGACTCCGATGCAGACTCTGTGTCTATTCACATCCTTTAAATCAAAATCATTTCCCAATTAAACTATGAGGAAAAAATGAGAATAAAAAATAGAAAAAATAGAGTATTTAAAAGGATTAATCTGCTGTTCAAAAATATAGCTTTGTCTAGTTAGGATAAATCAGATGATGTTCCAGTTAAGCTTCATCTTTTTTAAGTGCATGGAGCAACAGTTCAATATAACTTCCTTGTGGGAAAACTTGAGCATCATACTTGTGTTTACAGTGTTGATTGGCATCACTCATATACTGTATAATAATAATATAATAATAATAATATAATAATAATAATATAATAATAATAATAATATAATAATAATAATAATATAATAATAATAATATAATAATAATAATATAATAATAATAATATAATAATAATAATAATAATAATAATATAATAATAATAATATAATAATAATAATATAATAATAATAATAATATAATAATAATAATAATAATAATATAATAATAATAATATAATAATAATAATAATAATATAATAATAATAATATAATAATAATAATATAATAATAATAATAATAATATAATAATAATAATATAATAATAATAATATAATAATAATAATAATAATAATATAATAATAATAATAATAATATAATAATAATAATAATAATATAATAATAATAATATAATAATAATAATAATATAATAATAATAATATAATAATGATAATAATAATAGTAATAATAATAATAATAATAATATAATAATAATAATAATATAATAATAATAATAATATAATAATAATAATAATATAATAATAATAATAATATAATAATAATAATATAATAATAATAATATAATAATAATAATATAATAATAATAATAATAATATAATAATAATAATAATATAATAATAATAATAATAATATAATAATAATAATATAATAATAATAATAATAATAATAATAATATAATAATAATAATATAATAATAATAATAATAATAATAATATAATAATAATAATATAATAATAATAATATAATAATAATAATAATAATATAATAATAATAATAATATAATAATAATAATATAATAATAATAATATAATAATAATAATAATAATAATATAATAATAATAATAATATAATAATAATAATAATATAATAATAATAATAATAATAATATAATAATAATAATAATATAATAATAATAATAATAATATAATAATAATAATAATATAATAATAATAATATAATAATAATAATATAATAATAATAATATAATAATAATAATAATAATATAATAATAATAATAATAATAATAATATAATAATAATAATATAATAATAATAATATAATAATAATAATATAATAATAATAATATAATAATAATAATAATAATAATAATATAATAATAATAATAATAATAATAATAATAATAATATAATAATAATAATATAATAATAATAATAATAATAATATAATAATAATAATAATATAATAATAATAATATAATAATAATAATAAAAAACTATATTTTGAACATGAGGATATCATTAACAATGTACAGCATTTAGCAAATAAATAAGACTATCTCCTTTGATTTGTACTTATAAAAAAGTCTGTGAGCCATTTCTAACAAAGCAATTCTCATAACTGCCATTAACAAATGTATCAGATGTTATCCTATATATAGCATGAAAATTACAAGCGGTTTAATGCTTTACACGTCAATAAAATAGAATATTAACTCACAGAATTGAAAGAGGACTCCTGCAGAATACCCATGGACTGAACTTCAAACTTAATGAATTTCTACTTAAATATATTCAACAACTTCTTGCTTGTTAAAGTGCTTTCTTTCAAATCTTCTTTCTCGCAAAATGTAATGCTAAGAAAACTTTATATGGATGGTTATCATTTCTAAATAATACTTTCCTGCTGATTACAGAAAAGACTTGCTCTACGAACTAAAGAGGATATCTTCAAGAATTCCTCACTTGTGCAATTTGTGAAGCTTGAATCTGGGAACTGGTGTTCAATACTCTACTACTTTTTACTGAATGAATTTGAATGTGCAAGGCTTTCTGACTTCGATGCAGACTCTGTGTCTATTCACATCCTTTAAATCAAAATCATTTCCCAATTAAACTATGAGGAAAAAATGAGAATAAAAAATAGAAAAAATAGAGTATTTAAAAGGATTAATCTGCTGTTCAAAAATATAGCTTTGTCTAGTTAGGATAAATCAGATGATGTTCCAGTTAAGCTTCATCTTTTTTAAGTGCATGGAGCAACAGTTCAATATAACTTCCTTGTGGGAAAACTTGAGCATCATACTTGTGTTTACAGTGTTGATTGGCATCACTCATATACTGTATAACAACTGGCTTCTTAAATCGCAATACCATAGTACAATTAACATCTACATTAAAGCATCAGGCACACATAATTCAAATAATACACTGACACATTCATAGCCCACATGAATACATTACAACTAATAGTTGAGTACATCTGACCATCACAATCTGTCATGGAGAAGACCCTAATCTTAATAAAGCTGAAGTCTGTGAGTGCCTGACTGAAATGAGCATTTAGATCAGGCAATTATCTCATGCCAGTAGGAGTTTACATGCAGTGAAGTTTTATTGCATGGAAAGAACAGAACATATATGGACATGAAACAGCTGCGATGCAAGAAGAGGTGACTATGGCAAAAGGAAGCATTTTTTTGCATGACTTTCATGGGAAATCAGAGGGATATACTGACATTACCTACGCCATGAATGTTAAGTGCCTGATTTGCAAGGAAGACGTTTTAATCAATATTGCACTTGTCATCACAATGACAATAATAACACTCAACTCCACAACTTAAGAATTTTGATCAATGACTTAAAGATCAAGCAGCAAGGAGCCTACTACACTGACTGACACAATAAAAAAAAAGAGAAAAAAGAGAAAAAAAAAAAGAAAAAGAAAGAGGAAAAAAACTTATGAAAAGGCCTCTTTCGTTGCTCAGGTTTCTCCCTTGGCTCCAACTTTTTCATGGATGCTCTGGAGACTAGAGGCTTCTTGTTCATCCTTAGGGCACTTCTCAGCCTCCTCTGTCATCCCTTTTTCTTCATGTTCTTCCCCTTCCTTTCTCATTTCCTTTTTGTCGTTGTCTTTCTTGGAACTTCCTGCATTACTGCCCTCCCCAGTTGAAGGGCCTTTTTCACTTTCAGCTTGAGTCTGCACCTGACTTTCTTTTGTTTCTTTTGTTCTCTCAGTACTGTTTTCTTTCAGACTTCCATCATCTGTGTTTTCCTGTACAGTCTCATTTTCTTCCTTTTTCCCAACACTCTCTTGTGCCTCCTGTTTATCCTCCGTATCCTTCTTACCTTTTTCATTCTGCGGTTCCTCTTTTGGAGTGGGTTTTGGGTGGTCTCCCTTGTTCTTTGCTTGAATCTGCTGTATTGTAAGTGCAGTCTTCTTTGGGTCTTTCAAGGTTGTGCAGGCTGTGTACGTGATTTCATCAAGGCTGGCTAGTTGTGGCAGAACCTGAAAGAGTACTCAAGATAAGATGCAGTTTTCAGAGGGAAAAACAAGTAAATAGACAAGAAAAAAAAAAATCTTTAAAACAACTTTAAACACCAAGAGAGAAAACTTTTGTGTAAGCAGACTGTCACTGGCACAGAGGCACATGCATGAAAAGCATTGGCTGCATGACTTACCATGTATCATCCTCAGCAAACTTGATTAGGGCAAAGCAGTAAAAGCATAAGGAGAAATGAAAGAAAGAGAGGAAAAAAAGAGAAAGAGAAAGATTCTTTAATAATATGATGACAATAAGTTTATCTTTTAGTCCAAAGAAGCATAATGCAAAAAAACATGTAAAGTATCTACATATACCACAAGGCAAATATATAGTATATCTATATCATTTTAATCACTTCACATATTTTACCACTCAAAGCAATAAAAGAGCATTAAAACACCACCAAATTGACAGAAATCTTTAAAAAATATATCATATAAAATGCATGGGCAGAAAGAATCAACACTTACAGGAACAACAAAAAAGCGAGCAAAGTTGAACAAATAGAAAATCCATCCTAACTATATACAGCTTATAAAAGTTAGCACTGGAAGATGAAAGCTATTACCAAATTGTTTTAAGCAAAAGCAGACAAAGGCAGGGGAGAGACAGAGAGAGAAAAGGAAGCTAATAACAATTCAAAACACTTCTTTTTTTCTACAAGCATTCTACTCGCTATCTGTTAATCCTCCTTCCCACTGATACCTCTCCAGGACTGGGCTCGGGCAGCTCGGCAGACACGTCGACCATCTCCAGCTTGGCCATGAGCTCGGAGAGTTTGTTGGCCTTCCTCTGCTCGTTGGCCTCGATGATGCGGCAAAGGTGTTCCGTCAGTAGCTCCTTCTTCTCTAGCTTGTTGAACAGCTGGAGCTTGGCCTCGATGAATTCCCGCTCAGCTTTGTCGTATCTCTTCCTGGAGTTGGGGAGTGGGGAGTGGGGAGTGGGGAGTGGGGAGTGGGGAGTGGGGAGTGGGGAGTGGGGAGAGGGAAGAGGGGAGGAATAATATCAATGAATTAAATTTTAAAGAAAAAGATGAAAAATATTGAAAACTAAGAGAGGGGAAATTTAGATTTTTTAAGTGGAATAAGTAGGAGGATGGCAATAGATGAGGTGAGAAAATCAGAACATAGAAGTATACACTGTAAAATCAGACAATAAAAAGAAAATGTTTGAACTGGTGTATCTGCTGTTTATGAAATCATATCTTCAAGTTTCTATTGGCTTTAAGGAAGTGGTTAATAAATAACTACCTCACAGTTTTTTGTGTTCAGAAAAAGTTAAAACTTGAAAAGTCTCTCACTTTAATTCTATATCCTATTATTATAATCTTCAAGTGATAGTTCCTGTCCTAATATTAGTTACTGCTAACAAAGAAATAAAAATGCACACAATTCATCAATCAACACTACATTAGTATGCATTATTTTTCTAAACACACATGTACACAAGCATGTGCACACACACATGCACACACGCACTCACGAATGCATGCATGAACACATACATGTATGCGCGCGTGCACACACACACACACACACACACACACACACACACACACACACACACACACACACACACACACACACACACACACACACACACACACACACTGAATACAACTCACTGTGCTTCACTGAATTCCAAACTGGCCACTTCTATTTGGTCTCGCAGTATAGAAACATCAGTTGAGAGAAGAGAGTCCAACTTTGCCAACTCTACTTGGATCTGTTTCAGTTTTTGAGCTTCTGACTGAGTGCGGCGACTCCTGTAATTTGAATAGAATAAAAAATAAATAAATGAAAAATAGTGAATAAATGCCGTGATATTGTACCAATTGGAGCAATTTAAAAAAAATGAATGTCAGTAAGACAAGAAGCTAATTTTTTTTTTTTTTTCACTTTTTTTCCTACCAATTATTCACTGCAGGAAAATAATTAATTGTTAACCCATTGGATTCAGGTGCCTTACAGACCACATGTGGACCAAAATCTGGGCAGTAGGTTTACTGGAGTGGCACTTGAGTCTTACTGAGCTTTAAACCCTCATGGAGAGTTACTCCTGTCACTAATCCCTCAGCCAAATTTTTCATGACTGCACATTCCAGTCAATCAGCCCTCATCCAAATTCTTCCATGACTGCCTTTTCCTGTCACCTGACCCTCAAGCTAATTTTTCATGGATTGATGGTCAAAAAACTCAGATACAATGGGTTAACGGAAAAGAATATGATTGAAAATAATTAAATTCAAAAAGGTAATCTTCTCTACCTTTATCATCAGAGGGATGATATAAGGAAAAAAGAAAGAAAGAAGCAAATACAAAATACAAAAAGTAAAGACAAAAGGGCAAACTTACTCACCTATCTGCAATGGCTTTGGCAAGCATCTCTCTTCTCAGTCTGTTCTGTTCCTCCATCATTTTCTGCCGTTTCTGGAACATTTCCAGCGTCACACCCTCTCCCCTTCCACTACCATCATCCATCTTATCCTCGATCAAATTCTCGCTCTCGGACTGATTGTCGAGCTGGTCTGGAGTGGTGGTGCCGTTGGTGGACACTAATTCGTAGGAGTTGTTCTCTCTTACGCGGATTTTGACATTCTTGGCATGGCTTCCTTTTTTTTGGAAAAGAGGTCAGGAACATACAGTAAATGTAAATCAATGCTCACCAAAGTACAGCACGGTAGTGTTACAGAAATCACTTGAAAAAATAATAAAAAATATTCCACTCAGTGGTAAACCCAAGTGTCTATTTTCCTATGCAATGAATCTTTACTTCTTGTCTCTGTTTGTTTTCTCTAAAACAAAAGTTTGGTTACAGAGCTATCATTTCCACAGCAACAAAGAAAAAAGGGGGAAACAGTATTCTAAAGGATAATTTTCAAAGAGAAAGATCCTGCATTTGAACATGACTGCCTATACAACAGATGGGGCACCATAGATGACAGGTCTCATTTTGGCTTTAGTTTCAGTAAAAAAAAAAAAAAAAAAAAAATGGTGTGTTTACAGTGCCCTGTTTAATCTACAAGCAGCATCTGATCACAGGCAAAAAAGTTATGAACTTCACAAAGCATAGAGAACTGTTTTGAACACAGTAAAGAAAATCAAGGAACACTTGCTCTGGACTCCTAAATTTTGTCAAGCCTGAGCTGCTAATGATGTCATGATGTAGCTTCTATTTGCTGTTGACCCCAATTCTGGTCTCTGCGATGAACTAAGAAATGCTTGTTTGTCACAAAATTTTGATTAGTCAATTTACAAATGAAAAGAAATGAGGTTAACCTTATCACAGACTCAAATCAAATCTTTCCAATTCAGTTAATCAAATGTAACATAAACAGCTATCCCAGTTTTTAAGCCCTTCTAATCTGGAGACAGACAGACAGAGAGAGAGAGAGACAGAGAGATCAATATGCTTTTTAAATGGCCCAACAATCACACAATTTCTGCATAACAAAGATAACTCCTTACCTGTGGGTGATTTGCAGGGTGAGGGGGGTGTTGGGGAGACCGACTGTGAGCTGCTCTGAAGATGCTCTGGACTGTGATGCTCTGATGACGGAGAGGAACTACTGGGGTAGTCTTGTTCCTAAAATTTTTATCGAAAGTTAATAAACTGCAAGAGCTTGGTACATTATCTCTACATGAAAAATGTGTTAATCATCTATATGTGTATATATATCTTAAAAACTAATATGTTAATGCATTATGAGCTGACTGTGTGTATAGTATTATGTACAATTACTTATCATGCTAAATTTTCTTTTCAAGCATTATAGAAAAGCCATTACAAATGTTTACTATCTAAAATTCATTGGCAAAGGATATTTTTTTAATGATATAAATATTAGTATTGCATATGATTTTTGTGATGAATGCTTAATTATGATAGGAAGGAACAGGAGCACACCCCCTTAGCTGCCTGTGTCAAGAGGGGCATCAGAAAGCTCTAAAGAATGAAAAAAATGAAAAAATCTTTTTGTAACACAATTACCAGGAATGAGAGAGACTGAGACCTAGAACAGATTCCACTGTGGCCAATAACTTTCAATCTATTTCGCAAAATGTGATACAACTAACTGAATTTTCCATCAGTTGCAATAAAAAACAAAAATGTTCTTTAAAAAAAGGAACAATAAATAATCAGGTTGCCTATAAATCTGCATGCTACTCACTATCACATATTTCTGTTACCAAACCCAGTGCTGTTCTAGCTCACCATCTCACCATAAACACAAAAGGCTATCAACACCTCTGACTCGTTCTGATGCCCCACCTTCGACTCTGAGAGCCTAGCCTGGGGGGGGATGGGTGTGTAACTGTGGGGTGTTTTTCCCATCTTCGCAATCCCCAGTTTCTCCCGTGGTGGCTGCTTGGCTCCACCCTGCAGCTTGGCCTGTCGCAAATGGGGTGTCTGCTTCTTAACTGCGAGGAGAATGCAGGAAGAGGGTTTGCTATGATGAGATTTTGCTTTAAGATGCAGATCAATGGGTGATAAGAGAGAAAAATATACAAGGAAAAACAATGTGCAATTCAGCTCTCTAATACTGTAATGATGTTCAAAGACGAGAGAAAAAATAAACAGGCAAGTAAGCACTATGATTACATAGAATATATGTACATATTCACAACATTTAGAATAACCTTACTGTGCTTGTACAACTCTTAACACTATCTGAAAGATGTACTGCAGATGAAGCTTATCATTTGTATAAGTAATGATTAATTTTACTTCTAGTGTTTGACCAGCAACAGTGTTAGTATCAATTGTACTAACACTTCTTATATTTTTACTACTATTATCACATGAATTATAATATCTATCACTAATAATATTAATAATAATAATATCAAACAATGACATCAATAATATAATAAATAACATAATGACAATAATAATAGTAACCAAGCCAAGCCATGTTACCGAAATTAAAGTATGTGAATTTTTTTTCTCAATGCTTTTATGTACTGCAGTATTTGAGGAATGTCAGTTTAGAGGTGAAGCAATTATTAGGGAAAGGAGGGTATTATGTTTGTTAAAACAGTGACTAAAATTGTTGTTTGTAATGAGATATGAATATAATAAGAAGAATAAATCTTATACAGTAAAGCCTTGCATTTCATAACTTGGCACTTGGTAACCTTTTCGCACCTGCTACCCTGCACTGTATTTCACAATCAAATTTTGTAGCTGGCAACCAAATTATGCCCGCTAAGAAATTTGACAGTCTTCCACAACCAGATGCAAGACAGATAACTCCCAAAAATTATGCCATACTTATACCGCCCATTTACAGACCACTTATTTACGGACAGCCCATTTACGGACCGCCCATTTACCCTGGACAAGTTTCACAGAGAAAAGGCTCAGTGTGGGGCAATGAGAGCCACTGAGCGGTGTCTGGAGATGACTAATCCCAGAGATGATCTTCCCCTCCTTGTTTTGATAAAGGATGACTATGACAACTTTCATATGCTCTTCT